TTCATAAAATTCAAAATTTTAACATGGAAACGATTTTGTTAAACTCCAAATCCACAAATATTACATGTTCAAATGAACTCTAACCCGTTTGTTACCAAATGAATCTAGAATTCATGTCGTTTTAAAATGAATTTCTGCGTAGAATTCATTGTCAAATGAATTCCTGTGTTTGATATATGCTATTAGCGTTACAATCAAATTCTTGTCGATGTTCCTCATACTGCATGAATTGGTGCCAAATAATATATGTAGAAGTAATTTTTTTAATAAATGAGAATAATTATGTCATTTTATCATATTTGGTAAATACTTGTGGAATTCATTTGAAAATTCCATCTCAATTCCTCGAAAGTGCTATAACTAGTTCCAATTCAGTAGAATTCAAAATTTAGAATTGAAAATGAATTTTTTTAAATATCAAACACAAAAAGATTTCATTTCAAAATGAATTCCTAAAAACTTATGGAATTCATATATACCAAACGGTATGTAAGAGATTGTTTGCTTGATGAAATTGGTGATGGGCTTCATGATGAATTTGGATATATTATGGACTTTGTCCAAACTTCATTTTTTATTTTATGCATTTAGGGCAGCAAATTTGCGGGTCCCATAAACTTTAAGAATCCAAATACTGGGATCGGGGACCTCACAGACTTGAAAATTCCACCTCTTTAAACCATCTCCAACAAGGAATTGAGAAAAATGCTAGAATGCCAAATGGTTTTGGCATTTTGGCACTCCAAAAGTGGTTTTTGCTCCAACAAGCAATGCCAAAAGGACAAATCTTCCCTTTCGTGATAATCTAGTTTAGTGTTGATTTCATCATTATAATTAGATAATTTGTAGATTATTTGTATATGTGTAACACTAATTGATTAAGATGAACGTTTCGTTTTTTTATTTTTTATTTTGACCTAAAAAATTATCGTGAAATATTATATCATTAATGACGAAATCATAATAATTTGTTCAAATTGACCATAAACACTTCACATGTTCAAATATGATATCATTAATGACGTAAAAAAGTTGTTGGAGGTTAATAGAGCCGTTGGAATTTAATTTAGGGTGAAACAAATTTTTTAATCAAGTCGGAGAATCAGACTTTTTTTTGTCCTTTTCTAGTGGGTATTTGACAGATTTTTTTTTTGTATTTTTGACTTTTTAGCTTTTCCCAATTGATGTCGGAGGTGATATTTTAACATTTTTTACATTTTGGCTTGGTTGTTGGAGATGGTCTTAGGTGAGACTTGATAATAGACTTAGAATTCTATAATTTATGACCAAATAATCAATATAGACCAATTTCATTTCATACAAACAATCTAACATACCGTTTGGTATGAATGAATTCCATAAGTTTTGAGAAATTCATTTTGAAATGAAACATTTTGTGTTTGGTATTTAAAAGAATTCATTTTCAATTCTAAATTTTGAATTCTATGGAATTGGAACTAGTTATAGTAATTCCGGCAAATGAATTCCACAAGTATTAATTAAAAATAATAGAATGATATAATTATCCTCTTTTTTTAACTAAATTACTTATACATATGTCATATCAAACACATAAATTCATTTGATAATGAATTTCACACGACAATTCATTTTATTTCTAAATATTTGAATATCACATACCAAACAAAAGATTTCAGTTGACAATAAATTCTACATGGTAATTCATTTTACAATGAAATGAATTCTCGATTCATTTGGTACCAAACGGTCCATAAATAACCAAATCCATCATGAAATCTATAAAACAAACAATATTATTTTTCAAGTTGATAATAAACTCAAAACTCTCGTATATCCATAATTTTAGGGTTAATTGCATGGTTGGTCATTGAGATTACAAAAAACGTTCAAGTTTGGTCACTCGAAATATTTAAATCTATTGGTGGTACTTCAGTTTACTAAAACCGTTCACGTTTGGTCACTCTCCGTCCAACTCCGTTAACTTTTGCTGACGTGGCGGTCAACTCTAAAAGTTGATCGTTAAATGTGTGACATGGCAATTTAAAAATAATAAAATTAAAATTTTCAAAATTGCCATCTCATTTCCACTCATTTAAAAGGAAGATGGGGATTAAATGTGAAAACTGAAAAAAAGAAAGAGGAATGGGGGAATTGAAAGTTAAATAAACAGAGGGGTTTGAATGGAATCGGCGTCGTTCATCTATAAAAACAAACCGAACCCAGAACGGAAACGAGAAACATGTAATCTGGGTCAACAATACAAACTGGAGAAGAAATTTGGAACTGATCATGTTTGGGGGAGAAAGATCGGAGACTAGCATTGGTGATAATTGGGGCTGAAGCTCGGAGCATGAGGAGGCGATCGGTGAGCTTCTACCGGCGCTTCCTCTCGGCGACGAGGTTCTTGGATTTGTACCCTTTGGTTTTGTCGTCGGAAAATCGGAGTTCCGGAGCTCTTTTCCGGCTGCAGACTTGTTGCTCGGTGCATAGCTCGTTCATGATTGTGGCCACAAACTCCATGGCTACTAGTGCTAGCTCCTCTGTCTCCCCTTTGTGGCTCTGTTTTCTCGTTTCCGTTCTAGGTTCGGTTTGTTTTTACAGATGAACAAGGCGATAATTCCATTCAAACCCCTCTGTTTATTTAACTTTCAATTCCCCCATTCCTCTTTCTTTTTTCAGTTTTCACATTTAATCCCATCTTTCTTTTCAAATGAGTGGAAATGCGATGTCAATTTTGAAAATTTTAATTTTATTATTTTTTAAATTGCCACGTCACACATTTAGCGGTCAACTTTTAGAGTTGACCGCCACGTCAGCAAAAGTTAACGGAGTTGGACGGAGAGTGACCAAACGTGAACGGTTTCAGTAAACTGAAGTACCACCAATGGATTTAAATATTTCGAGTGACCAAACTTGAACATTTTTTGTAATCTCAATGACCAACCATGCAATTAACCCCATAATTTTACAATACCCAAAATTTATCAAAACTTTCATTTTTCAAATCGGCAAACCACCCTCAAAATTCATGCATTCCAAACGGGAGGTAAGATTCTCAGTAAAATAAAGGTGGAATTCCATGATATTTGATTTTAACGGGTCGTTTGCTTGAGGGTTTTGGTGATGGATTTGGTCATGGAATTCTATCCATCATGGACTTTAACGGAAATCCATCGTTTGCCTTACACTATGTTCATGAAAGAAGGGAGGAAAAGGAGGGGAGGGTAGGAAAATTTGGAGGGGAGGTTAAGTTTGGAAGGGTGGGAAATTAGAGGGAATTGGAAAGAAAATGTTGTTTAATGGAGGAAAGTGAAAGGGAAAGTGGGAGGGAAAAAGTAGATTGGGAATTGTGATATGTATTATATTTTATTGATGATAGAATAGTTAAATAATTTAATTATGTGTTTATACTATTTACATTAATTATGTAATGTGGATCAAATTTGTTCTTCTTTGTTAATTTTGTTAACTACAACAAATCAAAAGTTGGTTATTTGAATGAAATTTGTCAACTTATTACTAAAATTTTGTTAACTATTTTATTGAGTAATAACATAGCAACTAAATATATAAACATACAACAAATTACAGATACATAAATTGTAAGAGTAGCGTAACAAGTTTTTATATCTCATACAACAGTGTTATGTATCGTGCAAAACAACGTTACGTACGAGGCAATTCGGTGGATCGACTCACGAGTTGACCTTCATTACAACTCATAATAATATTTGTCTTCACCGATAATTATCCCCTCAAAATTTTCCCTACCTCCCTTAAAAAATATTATTAGTCAATTAATAACTAAGAGGACGTAAACCATTACTCTTCCATTACGTTAACAAATAATTATAGTTTATTAGTTAATCACCTATAATAGGTGATCATAAAATAAAAGTTAACTAATTCATTGTCTAGCATACTAATATTTTATGTAGCAAAAGAGAAAAAAAAAAAGCAAAACCAAACTAAAAAAAGCAAAAAAAAAAAAAAAAGAAACAATGCAAATGGTAGTGGAGAACTTTCTCTCCAAATTGGAGGGTTGGATTCTACAGAAAATTTTCTCTCATGTTTTTCCTTCCCTTGCACTTTTCCTTCCTTAAAAAACAGGGGAAAGTTTATGGAAAATTGTGCTTTCCATCCCCGTTTTCCCTCCCCTCTCCTTTCCTTCCTTTTCTCTCCTTCTTGAACAGAGTGTTAGGGAATTAGGGAGATGGAATTTGTGGGTCCCGCCACTTTTGGGGTTCCAAATCCGTGGACCCCACGGACTTGGAACGGACTTGGAAGTTCCACCTCTTGAGGTGGGATTTGGGTGATGGATTAAAATCCATGATGGTAAATTACCTTTCTACCCTTACTTATTACTTTAATTACAAAGTTGTCCTACTTTAATTCAATGGTCATGCAATTATAAACTTTTATAATGTCGTATTTTATATATATGAGAATTTTTCATTTCGTTTTGTAATAACATAGTTTATTTAAATATGAATGTATATGTGATTTGTTAGATTCAACTATAAACATCTTATGCTCGTCTTGTGCATTATTATTTGATTGATTGTCGGATTCCAAAATCGGGGAGTTAGCAAGAAGTTGACGAGTTGTAGCAATAAAGCGAGCAATTGGTTGCAATTGATACATAATATTGCGTACATTATTAGATGAGTTGTTAATTAGTGCCAAACTATAATACATTTCTATATTTGTAGTTGAATTATTAGTCCACATAGTGGTAAAGAGTTTAAAATTTTATTGTATGCGTTGGATTTTTTTAATGAAATTTATGGATTATAATATAGAAATATAATTAGATAAGATAAGGGTAACAAGGTAATTTGAATTTCATATCCACAAATTTATTCAAACAAAATCTATAATCAAATCCAACAAGCAAACAATAGACTTGGTTAAATCCATAATGCCACCAAATCCATCATATATCCATGGTTTTCCAAAACCCAAGTTTTACCAAAACCCTCATTTTTCAAATCCATGAAGCAAACAAACCATAAGTGTGCCAAACAGAAAAAGGGAAGATTAATATGAGCAAGGAAGCAAAATGGGATGGCTCACGTCTGTCCTCTTCTTCCTCTTCGCGGCAGCATCTCTTCTAAAACCCTAACCCTAACGTAAACCTCCCTCTTTCTTTCTTTCCCTCTCATTTTCCGATTGGTCGCGCCATGAGCCAAGACTCCATGGACGTTGATCAATCCTCGCAATCCCAGACCCTGCGCACCCTAACCGCGGGGCCGCTTTCTTCTTCACTCTCCAGCCTCGCCGCGTCTTCTCGCACCATTCCTTTCAACAAGGACTTCCACTTCTTCTACAACTTCGACGAGTTCAAGTCCCCCGTCAAGCGAATCTCCACCAAATCGCAATTGCTCCTCCAATCAATCGGCTCCTCCGGCGCCGTCCTCAAGGACGAGATTGAATTCCCAGGCGATGGCGATATCGACTGCGTGGAGGCCTCCGATTGGCTCGTTAACGTGAACGACGATATATTCGAGCGCTTCGACTCGTCTGCCGATGAGTTTGAGGTAGTGCGCAAGAGCCAGGAGGAAAATGCTGCTCGGAACAACTCGGTTATGGACAGCGATGGTTTCCAGACCGTCTGCGGGAAGAAGAAGAAGAAGAACGTTTGGATCAACCCACAGAGTGGATTGGCTGGTAGCTCCGTCAGTAATTCCACCGGGGACTCGGCAGTGAAGGTTGCTGATAGGAAGGGAAATGCAGGTGGGAAAGCAAAGATCCCGTTCCATATTCCGTCGATTAAAAGGCCGCAGGAGGAGCATAACATATTGGTAAATAATTCCAATCAGCCATTTGAGCATGTCTGGCTGGAAAGGAGTGCCGATGGATCGCGGTTCGTTCATCCCCTGGTAGGCTGTTTTCGGTTGCCGGACTTTTTTTTCTTCTTTTGCAATTCTTCTGGTTGAAATAAGAACCGTGATGGTGAGGCATGCATGCACAATGGTCTAAGCCTTTCGTATTTTCATAATTATCAGGTCTTTCGAAATGCTTTGCGCTTCAGCATTTCATCACTATCTGAGCTTCTGGGTCACTAGGACTAAGCCATATGGGAGGCTCTGCTCAATTTTGATTAGTGTCATACTAATAGAGTGATACCGGAGTTTCTTGCGGGGAAAAAGTGTTGACAAAAAATGGTCCTGATGCATGCATGTGTATATTACTTGCAGAAGAGCAGTATAGGATTAGGGCTGCTACTTGGCATTTCTTTTCCATTAGGTTGTCCTGTTCACTCAGTTCTGAGGCAATTCCTTGTAGCCCTATATCCCGAGGATTGTGGCATTGATGGAATGGTTTGGTTTGAAGTGCTATGCTCGAGCACTAAATACTCGTGTAATTTTGCGTCAACTTCTGGTGCTTACAGATCTCTGATATATTCTATGGTAATATTTCTTGCGAGCAGGAAAAGCTTTCTTTTTTGGATTTTGTGGACAAAGATGCTGGCAGTATTGAGCCGCTGGTTCCACCTGCTGTAGAGAGTACCCCATTCAAGCTTGTCAAGGATGTCAAGGATTTGAAGGAGCTGGCTGCGAAATTGCGTGCTGTTAATGAATTTGCGGTATATGCTTCAGTGTTTAATGACTTTATTATCTTATTTTTTTGTTTTGTTGCTATTGAGCTCAACTGTGTTGATTGATCTACCAAATTTGGTCTATTCAATCTGCGCTAATTGCCAATTGTTAATGCTTTGCTATGTTGGAACTTTAGGTGTAATTGGTTGTGGTGTGTAATCCTTGTTCTGTCAACTGTTATCTCGTTCATTATTAGTTTGTGCCTATCTTGATGAAGTTGTCGTTGTCAATGCCAATGTGAAGTGCTGTTACATGTCAAGTATTGTTGTTTCTAAACTGTCTTTGGATAAGCATATGTTGTACTTATATTCCATATATTCCCCCCCCTTATTTTGAATGAAGTGATTGCTTAAACATCGTAATCTTAGCAGTGTCTGCAATGGTTAGATGCTTGCTGTTGCTTGGTGTCATATATCAGAGTTACTTTACTGCTTGATATCATTGTTTTCTTAAGGAGAGGGTGTGGTCTGTTTCCTGAATCTGTCACTTGGGATTCTTATTGCTCACTGGCTTTTATCAGGGTTAATTCAGTGTTTGATATCATTGTTTTCACATGGAGTGGATGTGGTCTGTTTTCTGAATCTTTCACCTGGGACAATTTACTTCTCTTAAACGGTGCCTTAACATTGATACAAACTTCATTCATTGATTTTGATACAAGTCAGCTCACCTTCTCATGTTTTTTCCTCTGTCCTCTCAAGGACTCACATGATTGATGCATCTGGTACAGTTTTATGTCTTTGTTGTTCGATTTATGCAACTGTTTCATTCTGTGATGTGCAGGTTGATCTGGAGCATAATCAATATCGTTCTTTTCAAGGATTGACATGCTTGATGCAAATTTCTACAAGAACTGAGGATTTCATTCTAGACACCTTAAAGCTTCGTATACATGTTGGTCCTCATCTTAGGGAAATTTTCAAGGACCCAACCAAGAAAAAGGTATGTCTCAGTCTCACATACTCATATTTTCTGTTCCATGTCATCCCTGCTGCATGACATGATTCCTTATGTGGCTGATACGAACTCTAATTAGATCTTGCATGGAGCTAATCAAGACATTGTGTGGCTTCAGAGGGACTTTGGAATATATATATGCAATATGTTTGACACGGGACAGGTTGGTACCTCTTAGTTGCTTCGTCTCTGTTATCACTGCAAGGATCATTTGGAATTTGTGCTGTCCTTTGCTGCATAATAGCCTTATTTAATCCAGAAGCTCTTTCATTTCTCAATAAGTTGTGACATATTGATGATTTGAAATTGGAATCTACATTGAATTATAAGCCCGGCTCTGCTTGCAAATAGAAATCCTGTTTTTTGCTAATGTATGGATTTGTTACTTGACGCTTCTGTTGTTATACCAATTACTCGTCAACGCATACTATCAATATCGAATTCTGAGGTATTATCTGCTACTCTGTTTATTTTTCTTACTTTCCAGGCCTCAAGAGTGCTGAAACTGGAGAGGAATAGTTTGGAATATCTTTTGAATCACTTTTGTGGAGTTGTTGCTAACAAAGAGTAGGTCTTTACGCGATGACTTAACTCTTTCCTATTGTTTTTTATTCTGTCTTGAATAAATAACGGAGGACGAGGGTTGCTCTTCTAGCATACATCAATATCTAAGACCCACTTTCTGTTATGTGCAATATTGACCTGCTTGTTGCTTGCAGATACCAGAATGCAGATTGGAGGTTGCGTCCTCTTCCTAGTGAGATGATTAGGTAAATATATCTATGTGTAGGGATAACCATGCGAGGTTTTGATGAGTGCTGCTCCTTGCTTTTCTTGTTTCTGTTACGCTTAACGCTTTACAATTTTTTGTTGCCTGTTGATGACAGATATGCTAGAGAAGATACCCATTATCTGTTATACATTTATGATCAGATGAGATGCTTGTTGCATTCAATGCCTGAAGAAACTGAAAGTTCCGAAGCTCCCTTGGTGGAGGTACGGTGACAATCCTTTTGCTTCCTTGAGTTGATACTAAGGGCCTCTAATTGTAGCTTCCTTGGTGTATGCTGAGCATAGGATTATGACATAGATGTGATGCGTTGTCTTTGCATTGGTTTTTGGCCTTGGATCTGAGCTGTGGAATTTATATTTTACATTATGTTAATATGTTTTCTTTGTTGCTGGATTGAAGGGTCTATATTGCTGGTTTTTCTTTATCACCTGCAATTTATGTAGCTTGGTTTTGATCTCCAAAGAGAATGAATATGTGTAGCAATCTTTTGAGCACTGCGAACCTTGCTATGTCACGTCCCCAGATTTGTATCTGTGTTCGGTTTGGTTTCAAATGAGCACGAGTGCTTTCTTGCAGATTATGAAGCATGCTTAACTAGGCTTTGCTGCTACTGTTCGGATGACTTTTGCTGTGTTCATCACTAACAGGTGTACAAGAGAAGTTATGATGTTTGCATGCAGTTGTATGAGAAAGAGCTTTTAACAGAGGATTCGTATCTGCATATGTATGGGTATGCTCTCGTTCCTCTGAGAGTTCTTTACTGGAGTCTAGACTTTGGAGCATTCTTATATGGCCCTGTTTCAAGTGAACTGCCATCTATTTCTTGCTTTTCTCTACTGCTGTATTTTTTCCCGTCATGATTGGAAACTAATATTTCCGCATCTTTTGTTTCATGGAATAGCTTGCCAAGTGCCAACTTCAGTGCTCATCAGCTTGCTATTGTTGCAGTAAGTTCTTTCTCATTATCACGTAGAGTTCAGTTTCTCACTCGATTACTGTTTATAATAAGTTGGCCTAATTGTCTTTTATGGCTTAAGATACTATTGTCCCATGCAATACCTAGCTTCTTGTATGTCGTTAAAATCATTTTCCTGTTGGGGGATTTGTGACCCACTGGAAATGGCTTCACAAATTTGTCCAGCAGGCCACTCTACTATTATCTTGTCCATCATATTTTTCACTAGTCTTATCTGGTCCACATAAATCATTTTATAGGGCCTGTATGAATGGAGAGATGTTGTGGCTCGTAACGAAGATGAGAGTACTGGTTATATATTACCAAACAAAGTTCTACTCGAGATCGGTATGGACATACTCCTTACAATTTTCATCGTTTTCTATTCTGTTTTGTGGTTTTATATAATGGCAAACATTGACGTGTAATGTTTTCATCTTTGGGAAATGGAAAAGCCAAGCAGATGCCTCTATCAACTGGCAAGTTGCATCGTGTACTCAAATTGAAGCACCAGTATATTGAGCGGCACCTCAGCTCTGTTGTACAAGTCGTTAGGCATCAAATGCAAAATGCTGCTGCATTTGAAGCTGCTGCGCAGCAATTAAAGGAATTGGCCTTGGAAATGGTAAGACTTACTTTTCACTCTAACTGGGCAGCTTTTCAAATGTTTCCTAGGAATTTCATGTTGCAAAGAAGCTTTAACAGCTACTGCATTACTGGTTATGGCAATGACTTTTTAAGTTTAGGGGAAGCAAAGAAGTATTGTGTTTGAATTAGTGTTTCCGATTGGCTCGTGGAAAAAGTTGAGATGATGGGATACGAGATTTCTTTTAGTAATAAATAGTTTTTTTGAGGTAGTGGATACATTGCTAATAATAAAGAATGAGTTTGTTTTGGAAAATGACTCGCGAGCATATATCTTTAAGGGGCAAAATTGAAATGGAATTTTATCGGTGAGGTGTATTTTGTTTTGGTAGAAGTGAGGTGGACTTTAGATTCAAATAATTTGTATGGATTAAGGTGTTGATTTACAATTTTAGATTTAAGAAGTGTGTTTTAGCTCTCAAATCGACCTATTTTTAGTTGCTTAGCCAAAACAAACACTGCCATAGTTGTTTGCAATCTTCAATTGTATTACATGGACCAAAATCTTGATATCTCGAAAGTTGCATCCGAACAAACTATCTGGATTTCAATCTATTTAAGCAGTGCAATTTCAGCTAATCAAACATTTTTTTCTTGTCAAGGCCTCACGAGATACAGGTAAATCAAACAATGGCTCAGAAGTTCAAGATTTGAAAAATGCCGCCACTCCCTTAGGAACTCCAAATGTTGGAGCACAAAAGAATCATGGTACCGATGCAAAACATGCCAGCACAAGTCTGCTGCCAGCAGTCAGTCCTTCAAAGATTGAGAAGAAGCATTTGGTGTACGGTATCAGCGAAAATGGGAAACTCGGTGTGGAGATGACAAGAAGGGTTCCTCAATCAATGAATCGGAGAGCATCAGTTGTCTCAAAAGGCTCTGACTCGCTGTCAGATTTGTCTCCTAGTGCAAAGGTCCCCAGATGTTTGCCGATTGCAGCTTCCTTGAAGAGCAGTACTTGGTGATTTTTAACAACTGATATGATGCTCATTTCTTCTGTAACAGGTTTCAGGTTCCACAGTACAGGTGCAAAAGAAGACAGGAGGCATCTTCGGATCAATACTAGGAAATGCTGCCTTGAAGCGGCGAGCTGATACCGATAATAGGGTGGGTTTAGCTTGAATTTTCATGGTTGATATTTGTATGAAGTAGTTGAAATCACAGAATCTTCTAAATGATGACATTTCGTGATTTTGATTAGTCTGACACTTGGTGGACATTTCAGGATCAAAGAGACACGAAGCTGGAAAAGATTAAATCCTCGGTTAGCCTTCCTTTTCACTCATTTGCAGGGAGAGATGATGAGCTGCCATCAAAACCAGAAATAAAAAAGGAGGCTGCAGGTGTTTCACAGCCTGAAGAACACGCAGCTGCTGCCCCGGCTCGTGAGATAATAATGCTGGATTCAGAGTCCAGTGATTTAGGATTGGAAACCGATTCAGAACTGGAGATTGATGAATCGGAGGATGAATTCAGAGTGAAGAAGGAACCAGCCGAGTCTCCATCGCAAGGAGACGATGAAGCTGAAGAACCAGTTTCTGTATCTGATCTGTCTCTGGAACCAAGTGGTCTGTCCGAGCTGAAGCCATTTGACTATGCTGCTGCAGCGGAAAAACTGTTGAAGTTTGAGCGGCAACGGCCCGGGCCTGCTAAAGAATCGGAAGAAGGGGTTGTGGATAGAAAGAAGGCGGGCTTGATGGAGTTAGTTAGAGGGAAAAAATCGGCTGGCGGCAGCAGTGAGAAAGGCGACGACGGAACATCGTCGGAATTTCGGCCTGGTCGGAGGCGCCATGCTTTTCCTGCAAGTGGCAACCGGAGTTACAGTTATCGGTGACATGGTAGTCTCTCTCTGTGTTTCGGTGTCCACTCTCCACTGTTGTAAATTATTACAGAAAGAAAAAAAAAGCGAGTTTTCTTGGGATGTAAAAACTAGCTCAAAATGCCGAATGCAAGCAGTGGCCGGTTGGTCTTTTATTAGTTTCCTCTTTATTCCTGCAAATGGCGCTTAATGTGTGGAATCCATGAAATACAGAAATGCATTTTTCAAAATTGACTAGAAAGAAGCTCAGAGATTCGAACTTAAGCACTTCAGATTCAACACTGATGTTATTACCACATGATCAAGCCTTTTTTTATTTTTACTTGCAAGTTTTTTTCTCTCAGTAATTAGTGGACTCTTATTATGCCCCCTTGATCAAGCGTCGAGAGAACAAGTAGAAATACCCCGTCTACAGAGGTGACCACAGACCATCCCCGCTTGATCCACATCCAAACGATAGTAAAAGCCACCTTCTATGTTTCAAAATCTGTCGCCGAATCCAAGAACCAATAGCATGTTTTTACTTACTAGTAAATTTTTGAAAATATTTGTGAACAAACAATTTCCAATCTACTTTTTTCAATTTAACAACAAAAGTAATATATCTTAGCATATGTTATTCTTTTTTTGACAAAACATACTCGTGATTCACGAGGTATCCATAGGTATTTATAGAGGTGTCAATAGGGAGGTTCGAGTTGGGCTCAATTGGATTGTTGATTAGTCAGATTTTCAATTTATTAGGTCATGGGCTGGTCGGTTTTTACAGATTGGGGGTAAGTTGAGTTATGGGTTCATCCAGTTGCCGGTTAATGAGGCTGATGGTCAATCGGACGATGGGTTGTTTGGGTTATGAGTCGGCTGGGTTAAGGGTCAATAAGCTTGCGGGTTGTGGATTGTTTGGATAAACTCATTGGGTTACTTTTTATTTTATTTTATGGATAAACTCATTGGGTTACTTATTTATTACACTTTTTTTTTACAATAAGAGCTGCTTTTATTCCATCTCATCAAAAGGAAGCCAAGTACATTCTTACAGCAAATGAGAAATAAAATCAGCAGTAATCAGCCAATCAGTGGGGAGAGATCCCATTCGTTCATTCCGAGCCACCCAATCAGCAAGACCATTGAGACGTCTAGGAATAAACATCATAGTGATCCAAGGGGCCAATTGGAGCAGAGAAATGATACGAGACAATATCGATCGACATTGCCAAACCCATCGATCAGGAGTAAGCTTCAAAGTGAGAGTCAGAATCTGGCAATCAGACCTAATACAAGTCCGACAAACTTCCCGAGATGCACACAAGACTGCGTTAAGAATTGCATAAGCTTCCACTTGGATAGGATAGGAACAAAACACTTTCTCAGCCTTGCCGTCCAAAACTTGACCATGGGCATTAGCAATCATAATCCCATAAGTCGCCTCCTATAATTTCGCACAAAACAATCCTCTAAATAGGTCCAGACGGTGGTGAAGGTTGAAAGCGGGATCCCCTTGGATGAGCATGCCTTGCAGCTGATCTCGAAGCAGAAGGAAGAGAAACAAAATTTCGATCTTCCTCAAAGGCATGGAAATCACGATCAGCTAGCACTGCTGAAGAGGTCGGGGAAATGACATTGTCCTCGAATAAGAAACCATTCCGAGCAATCCATATGTTCCATAAGCAACATACACTTCTCTTTGATGAAGTACATAGGAAAAGTGTCCTTAAACTTGAAGATCCAATCCGGGAGAGGACAATCATCCGGTGGAAGGAACAACGTTGGACCCAATCCAGAGAAGGAATAAGTGGTTTATAAAACTCATTCCCATTTTACTTTATTGATTAAGTGATTTGTGGATTTTTGTGAATTATGTAGTATTTCACACTTAGCACGTTTGCACATCGCATTTCAAAATTGAGTTTTTAAATATTTAATAAATTATTTTGAATTAATTAATTGTTTGATTTTTGTGAAAAGAAGTGAATAATGGAGCCGCGAGGTTTGGGTGATATGAGAGAAGACGACTAAATTCGAATGGGAGATTTGAGAGAGGAGGAGGAAGAGAATAGAAGAGACAATAATTAGGTTGGACAAAGATGACGACAGTCGATTGGGAAATTTGGGAGCCATAGCTGTTTGGCACTGGCTGTGGGGAGGAGAATGGATGGATGGTTCATGGTTGGGAGGGATTGTAGGGAGAAAAGCTCTTTCACAAAAAAAAGTTAAGAGATAGGTGTAGGAGAAACAAAAAGAAAATGAAGAATTTTGAAATAGGTGAAAGTTAGTTTCAAAATTCAGCATATGCATGTTTTTGAAATCTCTAGACACTAAAATCTCGTCTTTTTCAAATGAGGAATTTAAGAGAATTCAGTGGAATGAGAGATTGTGTTGAAATCACTCATTCTAATTCTCCATCCATCTTGTTGTGAGTTGAACAACGTAGAGCTATACATCGGGCGACCTAAGAAAGCAGATCTCTATCTAGAGAGATTCTAGGTTTTTTTACACCCAAGGAAAATTGTATCGAAAGTCGCAAATTTTAAACTTAGCATAACCGATTTTGTTGTGTTCTACTGTAGTACGACCTTTTTTAGTGACATCACAAGGGCTTGACCAGAAATCGCCCGACTCGACATTGGAGCTGCATATCTTCCTTCCCTTACCTATGAAGCATCATACTAGAGTAGGAATAGGGTGCAATATAGGAAAAATATGTTTTAATTGTCAAACCCGGGCCAGTCCATGTACCCCTACTTCGATCGCTTAAGTTGTTATCTACCAAAAATAGTTTTTGGTTATTTAAAAACTAAGAAAACTACAAAACAAACAAACAAGTAAAGTAATCGAGGAGAATTCTATATGAGAGGACTTCACCCGGGTATTGCTCCCCCTAGCCCCGAATTAAAAAACCATGGACAAAACTCTAGTGTGAATGATGCATTTATAAACTGTGAGGCGGGTGCAACTAGCTAGGAAACCTTAACTCTCTTAGTCGATTAGTTAAGGATAGCAACAACAGGCTATGTAACCTAACTCTCTTAGCCATTCGACTAAGGATTGCAACTATAGGCTAGAAAATCTAGCCCTCTTAACCAATCAACCAAGGATTGCAAGAATCAATCCCTCGGAAATTAATCCGGACGGCGGATAGCGACCAATCATGATGGGATCATGGCACTAATCATGATGGGGGACACAAATTGGCCAAGAATCCAGCTTCTCAAAGCCTAGAAGATCTCTTACTTTGGCTCTTCCTTTCTCTCTCTTAACAAGAAGATCTCTCTTTCTCTCACTAGAATTCTTCCTCCTTTTTAGGGTTTTTCAGCTCGAACCCTAGAAGACCAAGAAAATGTGAAACCCAATCCAGATCTTGCCTCTCTCTCTCTCTCTCTCTCTGCCAACACCCTTCTATTTATACAGCTCGACAGTCACTTTCACGGTCTGCACTTCACGGCCGTGATATTGGAACTCAAACCGTGACATCGGACAAAAACGTAGGTCACTGGTGCTGTTTTGGTCCGACATCACGGTCACTGGACAATTAAAATGATCTGGCGACCGTGACAATCTTCTGGCCCACGAGATGCAAAAACCTCCATGTTCCCAGCGAAGTTCACACCCACGATGCAATTATCACGGTCTGGCGATTGTGAGAATTGCGTCCAAACCGTGTATATGATTTTTCTTCACTTTTTGGCTCTTTTTTACCTCGAAATGTCTCGAAACTCGTCATAGACCTTCCCACACGCGCTAGGACCTGAAATATATAAAAAATAGCACAACCTATCGTAAAATAGATTGAGAGACGATGAAATGCAAACTCAAACTATAAAAAAATGAGAGGTAAAATGTGTACAATTGAACCCGAATCAACTTACATATAGACGAGTGAGTTCTCTAAATTTGGTGAGTTCTTTGATACTGGTAGACCAGTTGGTGTTCATAAGTCAAAGTCAGTTTGCTCTTTTTCTTATTGAGGCAATTGATTTGCCCTTCCTTTGGATTCTGACTTGGATGGAAATGCAGAATATATATTAGCCACCCTTCTTCACATAACAGAAAAAGAGATTGTGCCTCGGTGATTATCTGCCTCGTCTTTTAATTTACGTTGTCCAAGGTTCGATTCCTAAACATAAAAATAAAGGGATTTCCTATGGTAACTTGAAGTAAGGTAACTTGAATTTTTGTACCTGTTATAGCAGGTTTCACAGGTTGTATTACGTAAATACAATAGGCATTACGTAATGGTTACGTAACATATGATAATCTTACGTAACAGTTGTAAAAGGTCATTACGGAAGCCTTACGTAATAGAATGTGTCTTTACGTAATGAGTATTAACCTCGCATTACGTAAATTGCAAAGTCATTACGGAAGCCTTACGTAACGCTACTGAATTAACTGTTACGTAAGAAATAACTGTCGTTTCGTAACCTTTACGTAATGGAAGGTCTTTTTACGTAATGAGTCTTAACCTTGAGTTACGTAAAGTGCTAAGTCATTACGGAAGCCTTACGTAACACTTCCGATTTAAGTGTTACGTAAGAAATAACTATCATTCCGTAACCTTTACGTAGTGAATGTGTATTTTACGTAACAGTTGTAAAATATAATTACGGAAGCCTTACGTAATAGAAGGTCTCTTTACGTAATGAATATTAACGTCGTGTTACGTAAAGAGCTAAGTTATTACGGAAGCCTTACATAACACTTCTAATTCAATAAGAATTAAAAAAGGAAATGTTAAAATATGGAAAGACAACTAAATGTGAAAATAGGAAAGAAAAAAATGAAAAAGGTAACTTGGGTATGTGGTGACCGGCAACTCGTGTTGCCATTTATTTTTATAGTTATTTTTTTATTTTTTATTTCTGTAATCAATGGTTTAAAATAAGTGTGATCAATTTTAACGGTTTAGATCTATGCAAATTATCTAACTTAAAATTATATCCAAGTTACTGTATACAACCGTGTCGAGGGAGTTATGTAACACTGTGGAGCTGCTAAGCTGATAATGATATATATATATATATATGGTGACTTCTACGGTGCCCAGGGCAAAACCCGGGTACGGGTACCTTGGCCGATCTTCACCGTTCGTTTTCAATCTCCACGGCTCACGTTTGTTAAACCTAGCTGCGCCACTAAATAACTAAACAAATTACAAAAAGCCTCCTCCGCGTTAAGTTAGTTTTCATCCTAGTCCAACTAACTGCCCCGTTTAAATTAAATGGATTAAGACCCAAACCCAATTGGGTAGACCCACTGCCGCCCAAACCAATTTCCAGTCTCCCTAACCAATTACACGATCCCTCTCTCGTCTTGGAGGGACGCC